GCGTCGGGGAGTACAGGCACTGCCTGTTGGGGCCTGCCAGCCATGACTGAAGAGAATATAGTGCCTGAGCATCTGGGCGCATCAGCCTTCTCTGCAAATTCTCCAATGACCCAACAGAGCTCTGGGTTTGCCTGTGCCCTGCCCATCTGTGAGCGGGTTTGGTCTTCGGAGCTGGAATGGAGCAGGATGGTAGGAAGGCACCCCTGTTAACAGAGCTGTGCATAGCTGCTGCCTTTCTGCTCTATGCTTTCTCTCTATAGGCAAGGCCTCTTTGCACCCTTCTTTAAAGAACACCCCAAATCTGAAGCTGTGTGAGCCCCAAAGAAACATGGTGCTGCAACCACCGATTCGTGCACTTGGCATGTTCCCAGTGCTGTTGTTGTCTCAGCTCCCCATCTGCCCCGGGGCTGAGCTGCGGGAAGAGCTGCCGGGAGAGGGGCTGTCAGGAGCTCTGGGCAAGGGAAGGACGTGCTTGGTGCTTCTCCGTGCTTTGATTTAGATCCGCAGTGAGCTGGTGGCCATGGCAACAGTTGGGCAGGAGACAAGATGTTCCTTCCAGGAGCCCTCTTGGTAATTCGTTCAGAATATTTTTTTTTAGCAAGAAGTTAACACGGTGTCTCTTGTGGCTGTAAATGTTGTCCCAGCCTCACCTTCCTCCAGCATCTCTCCCTACAAGGTGTGGTTTCAGGGCATGCCTGTCTTGGCTCCTCATCCTACCTGGAAAGTACCCCTAAGGGCTGGATTAAGTCTCTGAAACCTGTCAGGGAGGGTAGATGGTGTGTTGGGTCCTTGGATTTTCTGCCTCAGTTGCTAGTACCAGGAACAGTACTTGGAGGTTGAGCTCTTCTGTTGTCGTGTGAAAAATGACTGCTGCTTTTTAATCTGGCAAAGCATGTCCGGCTCCCACATTCAGGCCCCTGCAAGATTGGTGCATCTTTACTTACCGGTGTTTGAGGAGGAGGAATTTAAAGTGAAGACATTTGCTAGGGCTTTAGAGGAAGGGAGATCCTGTTGTGTGAAGAGAGATTTAAAAGCACTTAGGCTGAGGTGGAGGGTTAACTTGTCCAGAATTTGACAGGAAGGAATAACCTCGGGGAGGATGCCAGTTTTACAAGAACAGGCACAAACTGGCCACAAATTGATGAAGACTGATAACTGGAAGATCATTTCCAGTTACAGTGCAGTGAAGTTCTCGATCAGCTTCCAATAGCAGTAACACCTGCAAGGGACCTGGTGGGTTTTAAGACAAAACGTAGGGGGGTTGTGGGATGGATTATATTATCTTATGCAGCATAGCATTTGCAGTACAAGAGTATGGCATCAGTGATGCAAGACCTGCATTTCAGACCTTTTTATTTTTCTAGTAGTCCGAGAAAAGCTGTTTCAGATGGAGATAAAGCTGTGGCTTTGCCAGGGGCCGACCACATCCTGGGCTGTGCTTGCAGGGCTGCAGCCAGCAGGGCGAGGGAAGGGGCTTCCCTCCATTAGCACTGGTGGCACCCCTGCTGGTAGTACAGGTCCAGTTTGAGCTCCCCAGTACAAGACATGGATGTACTGGAGTGAGTTCTGTATTATTTCGGCTTGTGTTACTCTGCGCCCTTGGCCATGAGGTGATTTGCTCCAAGTCCATCCCAGCTCCTCCCAGGACTGACCCTGTAGAGCTCTGCCTTGGATACAGCCAGGGCAGTAACGCAGTGGGCCCCAGCGGTCATTCATCCTGCGGTGCCTCTAGACCTCCTTCTGGCTGGAAGCTGGAGTTTCAAAGCACTGTCTGCAGCTGATCTGTGCTTGTGACTAGGAGAAGCGCTCTGTTTAATCCCAGCTCGTGAGCCGGTCATTAGCACTGTCTCTGACTCTGAGGTGTGAGGTGCCAGGCACACAGGTTAGGCATGCTGTTGTCTATAATGCTTCACATGCTGCTTTTCAAGGTAACATGCATATTTAGGGTTTGCAAGATCTTTTCTTCCTTTGGGGAAGATGGGTGATGCTGTTGTAAATTTCTTTTAATTTCCCAGTGTGTTTGTTTTCAGTTTTGAGTAATTTGCCAGGAGGATGTGGGCAAAGTCAATAAAGCAAGAGTCCTTTTGCTTCTGAAATTTGTTACTCTGGGTTAATGTGGTACAGAGCAGCTTTAAGCTTTTCAGATGCAGCTGACTTTCAGATACAGATGCCCTGGTTTTCTTAAACTTTCATCTACGAGCAACCGCAATTAACCCTGACAAATAACAGGTTGCCTGAGCATCAGTTGAAACAACCCCCACATAATCTGATACCGTTTGCAGTGGAGATAAAAAGGAGAGCCAGCATGGTGGTTTAGGGGGTCTTTATCAATATGAATCTGGGTTATTCTCAGAAATAAAATGTATTAACCTAAATCTGAGACCTACAATTTACTTGAGAGCTATATGAACCCTAATGAAATCTAGGCTTGGCTTCTTCTAATGTTTGTGGGCAGATGGTGGATTAAATGGTCTGGGTTGCTGATGGACAGATGGTGTGGTGACCTGCACAGTTAATAGAGCTGTGCTTGTGCTTTTATTATTATCCACAGACCCTCTTTGGCTGCTTTGAAAAGTGGGTGTTGTGTTAGCCTAAATCCCTCCCCTTTTCCCGGGTGATTTGCTTTAAATACCATTTGTAAAACTGTCCAAATAAATACCCGTTATGTTTCAGTCTGACCTAAACTAGCATTTGAGCTGATCTGCAGCTAGTAACTCCCCTCTGCTGCCTCCCACCTGCGTGAAGGGAGGGGAGCGTTCCACTCTCCAGCACACGCTGTGTGGAAGAGAACCGGGGATGTGGAGATGGGTCTGGGATTTGGCAGAGTGTTGGCAGGAAGCTCACAAGGTATGGAAGAGGTGGGACCGAGTAAGTCCAGGACAGGAAGAACTCAGCTGGAATGGAAAAGACAAGACATGCATAAACCCATGGAGGAAAGAAATTAAAGTCTCCCTGTACAACAACTTGCCGTGCATTGCTGGAATTAATTGACAGTGTAGTTACTCCGTGTTGCCTGTGCTCAGAGTAAAACACATCAGAATATTTGGAGAGTTAATGACAGACCTCAAGGAGAAATTTTTTGCCACTTTTTTTCTACTGAAAGTATAACTTTTCAGTGAGCCCATGTTTTTCCTGCTTCAGTTTTGGAGAGGTTCTTCCATAAGTACGTTTGTTTGAGGCTTTTAAATCTGCATTTTTAGAAGTTTGCTTATCCTCATCCAAGCTCTTTGCTTTGCTTTTGCTTGCTGTGCAGTAAGGGGTGGTGTTCTGCTGTTGGGAGGTTATTGAAATATCCCATCATGTGCACTGGCTGATGTCACAGGCGTTGGGTCGAAACTGCCTTCATTTTTTAATGGACTCATTAAAGCCAGCTTGTGATTGCTACATGGTGGTGTTGAATACAAGATGTTTTAAAGCATCTTCTGTTCATTGTAATGAAATAACGTGAAATGTTAGCACTTTGAGGAGGGGTTTGCTCTTCCATCTGAGTATCAGGGGAGCTGTTCTCACTAGCCTGGAAATGTTTTGTCTAGGACGTTGAAGAGCATTGTTCTGATTTGTACAATGAGTTCTTTTGTTCTCTTGTTCAAAGTGCCAGAGTGACATTAACTACAACACAGAAGATGTTTTGATCTA